GGAAGTGGAGCAGGAACTCCGAATTTAGACATAGGCAAGCCGCAACACCGTGGGAGCAAAGGGCTACCCCACGCGCGGCTTCTTGCACAGCCTGCTACCGAACTTCTCAATGAACTCACGCTTGTCAATCCGCATGGCTGCATTGAAAATCTCCTCGACCATGTCTTCGTCAAGGTCCTCATCATGCTCAAAACCTGGTGTCGGCTGTTGTTGTGCCTCAGCCGCACCGCCTCCGCTGGCGACCGATGCATCACTAGGAGCCCCATGACCAGGCACATCAGCATCTTCGGGCTTGAAAGGCGATGATGCCGTTGCCGTAGGTGGTGCCTTCGCCTGGGAGTCCGCCAGCAGCTCCGTGAACTTCTTGAACGTGTCGGACTGGAGCATTTCCTTGATCTGCGCTTGCTCACTCGACGCAGCCAGCACCTCAGGATCGACCTCCAAATCCACGACGGGCATGCCAGGCAACGTACGAATGAGGTCCCGATTGAGGAGCTCGATCTCGCGGTCCGTAGCAGCAGCTTGTGCCCGCATGCCATCGATCTTTTCTTGAGCACTCGCGATGAAGCGCAGCTGCTCCTCGATCTGGTGCTCAAGTCTCTGCTTTTTGCCTTTCGCACTTGCCAAGCGATGACCCACATTAGTATGCTGAGTGAGCTGGGGCTTGGTCTGATGCAATTCGCGACGTACGGCCTCCAGCTTGATCTCGAGCTCAGCCTTGGCACCTTTGCCCGACTCACCCAGCTTCTCACAATGCGATATGGCCACCTCGAGCTGCTTGATGTTGTCGCGCAGCTCCTGCTCCTTGGAGTCCTGGGGCGGTTCCTTAGCAGGGTGGCTGGCCACAGGGACAGGGGACATATTACCTCCTCCTGCCAACTGGTCAAATCTGCGCTGGAGCTCGTCCAGCCTCTTCTGTAGTTTGTCGTCACGACCACCCCCGCCGCCACGAGATAGACCAGCCCGCTGACGATGCTGCTAGCCGCGCGCATGAAGCTCGGCTGCACGGCGCACCTCGGGCGGTGCCTTCTTCCCGCATCTGCAAATGATCCTGGACGCCCAGTTGGTGTTGCGACCACATGAGCACGCCCAGGTAGGCGTCCTTGGCCCAGGGAGGACCTCAGCGCCATCTCCATCGGTCATGAGAGCCCGTAGGCTTGGATGAATGTGTGGGTTGAGATCCCACGAACTGAAGGTTGGAACGGGGCTCGCAGCAGCGACTGCCGCTCTGAAGACTGCTGCTGCAAGCTCAGGAATCAGCACCTGAGCCAGAACGGCTAAGAAGCACGGTGCATGAAGCAAGAGTGGGAACCTACGAACTGACCAACTGGCATTGCCATCGTGAGGACGCACCGCCGCAATGTCTCCTCCGATGTTCGGCATGCCTGTGTCCAACACAGATTGGGGGGGGTCCGACGTGGAACAATATGTCTTGTTGCAGTATACACAATCAGTCGAAACGTGCGTCGGAACAAGCGTCTGAAAGAACGTCGGAAATGCCAGTGCCAGAATACGGGTTACAAGAATCCGGAAGGCAGAGGCTTCGTTGTTGTACTGGGGAGTCGTTTAATATACCAACACTTGCAAGCGTCCCTCCAAGCCATGTGGTCATGTTGAATGCTAGCTGCTAAGGTAGAGGCAGGAGCGCACAGTGCGCTGGTTGAACGTAGCGAATCACAGTGATATAATTCACCACAACACGCTATGGGGATGGAGGAGCAAGAGGAAGAATTACTTGATCATTGCCCTGACGATCACTGCTGGGAAGCATAGAAGCTTACAGTGCGAGTTGGACCTTGCGACCTGGCATTGCCCTCATCAGGACGCACCGACGCTATGCTCTTTAGGGTGCGCCGACGTTGTGCACCACGTTATGCAACAACGGTGCCTCTCGGCTTCTCGGGACCTCCTGACGCCCGCAGGCGCCTGCAGGGGCCTCGTGGTGTGCCTTCTGGCGCCTCGCTGCCCGCACCTCGCGCGCCTGGCAACCATTCCGTCTGGAATGCACTTCGCGCGCGCCCGGTCGCACCTGGCGCACGTCGCTCTCGCTTCGTGTGCGCCCGCTCGTACCTGGCGCACCCGCCCGACACGTCGCGAGTGCCCGTGTGCGCCTGGCACTCTGGGCCCTCATTCTGTCACTCGGCGCGAGCCCAGGGGGGGGAGGCCTCCTGAGAAGGCCTGCCCCCTCTCACTTCCCCCATCGGCGCCCCGCCGATTCACTCTGCGCATGGTCGATCGCACCTGGCCCTCATTCCGTGCGCGCCCGCTCGCACCTGGCGCACCTGTGCCTCGCCTCGTGCGAGCGAGCGAGGCTTGCGTGCGGAGGTCCTCGCCCATCAAGGGCTGCCGGGCACTGGAAAAATACAGAGCGTCATCTTGCTTCAGAACACGTGCCTTTATCTCACTGTCCACTGTCTGTGCGGTCGTCCTCGTGACCGAAAACCGATTGGCTACCACTGCAAAAGATTATTTGACCACCTTCCGGCTGTGATGTCATCCATCCTCCAGCGTAGCGCAGCTTTGCCGCAAAGCTGCGCGTGCCCACTCGGACCTGTGGCGCCTGGCGCTGGTGCACTTGCATGCGCCAGATGCGTGCCCGCTCCCGCCTGGCGTACCTGGCCCGCGCCCCATGCGTGCCTGCTCCTACCTCACGCGCCTGGCACCCTTTCCCCGCGCGTTCGCTCGCACCAGCGGATCGATTTATCGTGCGACCCTTTGTGCGGACGTGCCTCCCACGAGGCTCCGCCTGGTTATTCCTGGCCATTCCCCACCGTAGTGGCCGAATCTCTTCGATTCAGATTCACCATGTGAACGATACCTCTTGCTGGTTGTCCGTGCAGCCGCGCTCATGGCATAGCCCGCGTTCATGGCACAGCCCGCTAAATCGACAAAGGGAGGGGGGGACTTCAGACAGGCTCGGGTCCTGGAGGCCAACGGGGGAAGATGTCCACGAATGGTGAACGCGTGCAACGCCCTCGCGGCCCGGATCCCGGGGCAATCGCTCAATGTCGTTGCCCACTAACATGAAGATTTTTAGTTTCTCTGTCGGGCGAGGCTGTGGACGAAAAAATGGATGAGTCGCAAGACCACTCAACTCTGTGTCTCTTGCCACTACAAAGACGTGGAACGCATGCCGCGCGAAGCATCCGAGAAAAAACGCCCCGTATCCACGGGGTCGCGGCCCAGGGGCCCCGCCCCCGAGGCCGTGAAGAGGGGGCGGTGGCCAGAGCGGACATCATTGTTATCGTGAACTATGTGCCACCTGGTCGCCCTAGGTGGCCTGGCCGCAGTTGCGATACATATACATATAATAATGAACATAGCTGTTAGTAAAATACAATCATATATGTATATACATCTATAGTATACATGTATATGTATATATATATGTGTGTATATTGTTGATACCTTCGGTCTCTGCTTTCGGCCGCTACGCCCGTTCTGCCGCGTGGCCGCGATGCCAAAAAGGGTGTAGATATGGATACGTTTTCTGCCCACAAAGTATGCCGCAAAAGCAGAAGCGCAGAGAGATCCGTTCGCGTCCGATCTCTCCGTGCTTGCCGCCGCCGCTGCTCTTGAGCGGTGCCGCCTTTTTGTCAAGATCCGCCGCTGCGCTTTGGTGCGACCGGTGCGCGCACCGGGCACGCTGCAGTCGCTTTGCCCTTACTCCGTGCGATGCAGCAGCCAAGCGCTCCCCCTCTGTCGGCGGTGCGCCCGGGTGGGGGGGGAGTGCGAGGGGGGGGCGGGCCCTCTCAGAAGGCCCAGAAGGGCTCTGGCCGTCTGAAAAGTTTTCTGGGCCTTCTCCGAGGACAAGGGGCAGCTTCTCAGAAGGCGCGAGGGCTTCCGAGAAGTCCCGCCGCCTTCTCCCAGGGCGCGCCGCCGACTTTAGACATCCAGGCCATCGCTCCAAATCCACGTGCGCATGCAAAAAACAGCGCCCCAGGTCCCCATCGCCCCGCCACGCCCCCCCGCCATCGCCACCCACCTGCCAGGCTGCCCCCAGCCCAGCACCCGCCCCACGGCGCAGGGGCGGATCTGCGCGTTCCGTGCGCTCTTCTTTGTCGGACGGGCTCTCTCGGGTGCCTCCTCCTTCTCCCTCCATCTCATCAACGTAATCGTTGATATGTTTCATCATGCTGCGTAGACCCTCACGACTGACTCTGTCGAGCCTGGAAAGCAGCAAGGACGCAAAACAGCAGAAGTGAGCACCGAAGACAGGGCAGCAGGAGGAGCAAGGGTGCAGCAGGAACAGCATACATGATGGATGCATCGGGGCAGGGGACTGCACGAGGGCAGCAAGAGATTATAGGGAGTGGGGGACAAGTTGGCCCAAATTGGTCCCAGTGGACAGCTGATTGGCCCAAGATAGCCAAACTATTGTGACAATCGTGCCCCATCAAGGCAGCCTAAGTTGCTCTGGAAATGGACCCGAGTTGCCCCGAGGTGGCGAGCCCCGAGTTGGCCCAAGGTAACAGGATCGCCCAGTTGGCCTGAGTCTCCCTGGGACTACCCCGCGCCCCTGCCCCTCACCATCCCAGGACCCCCTTGCAAGGCAGGGATTGATTCAAATCCACCGCCTGGGAACCATGTCCTAGAGCCCCAACGGGCGGTGGATATGGATAGATTTGGGCCCGCGGGGCCCGAATATATCCATATCCACCGCCTGCGGAGGTCCGCGAAGATCGATCCCGCAGGCAGTGGTTATGGATATATCCCCGCCTCGGACCCCTCCCCGAGATCCCCCCTGGAGGAGAAGGGATCAAAAGGACATAACTTCCCATTCCTGTCGCACTCGCTGACGAGGTTGGCGAATTTCCTCGACGTCTGCACCAAAACTCAATACGAGACCACTCTCTCTTATTCTATCTCCAACCGCTAACTTTCGCTGTTTCGTCCTTTCTGCAACGTAGTGCCCCGACCATGGCCTGCGGGTCGCCACTGGTCATCGGACCGACTACTTCCCGTCCTAACTGTCGCTGCCTCCCTCGGGTCGTGCCCACCTGGATTGTCCAGCAAGGGCTGGAAGGTCTCGACGTCGAAAAAAGGGTTCTGCCCAGTGAGCTCAAGGTCGCAGATGGGGCTCCCAGCATCGCCTGATCAGTCCAAAGACTGATCAGGAAACACATGACGGACAGCATGCACGCTGGGAAGCTGTGGCAAACCACTCGTGCCATCTGCATGGTACGCAATCAGATGTCAATCGATCCTTGGACGCTCACGGGCCCTTGCGACCTTCGCTTCTCCACCCATCCCCCCCGAAAACACATGAATATCATGACCCGCCACGCTGTGCACATCCGTGTGGTTGGAGGGTACAGCTTCCACGGAGGAACTGACGCGACACAGGAGGAAGTCGAGGGGAGAGCACGACCACTAGCTAGCAAATTAAGATGAACATTGTGACTTGCACAACGAGCAACATGCATAAACTCGACTGGCGGAAGGTCAGCCCTGAGTGTCGTGGCACTTGGCCCGCGTGCGCTGCATCACGGGCGCGACGAAGGCGTAGAAGTAATTCGGCTGCGGCGTCAGGCAGAAGCCCCAGTCTGGCACCTCGAAAGCACTCACAACTTGTATGGCTACTCGTGAAGCTAGCGCACTACAGCAATCCGTAGAAATTATGGCCGGGACTGACGCAGGGCCATAGTTGGGAGGATCATGACAACAAGTCGCCGCGCGAAGAAACACCGTCGCGCCTTGTCCCCAAGTGGTAGGATGGCAACGAAGTGTCGGGGCCACTGTCGCGACGACCTCTGAATCACATCTCCCTGAAAATTGCTATCTGGAGCACCACTGTGCCAAGCACCCATGCATCATGGGATCACACTTCGCCCCAAGACGTTTCATATACAATCCCCATGTGCAAAGGGGTTCACATCCTTGCCGTGACTCATCCCATACCGCACCGTCTAGACCTCCGATGCGCCAGGAATCTACTTTGACTGCATGTGTTTTCACGGCCCCGCGACGATCCACGGCAGTCGATGGTCTCTCAACTTATCCGACAATGCCTTACGGACCTGCGAAGACTGCCCAAAGGTGGACCCCCGCCAACGCCCACAAGACCGCTGAAGACAACCCACATACCTTCAACGGCTCTCCGATCCCCAGAAACTCAGCCATAAAGACAAACACGTTTGAATCCAAGTTTCGTGAAATTGGCTGGCCCCCAGGAAAGGCTCAATATGTGGCGCAGACGGCCCAAAACGCATGCGGCGGCCCCGCTCCCATACGGCGCACACGTCACACGTGTTACACCTTACAGGGACCCCACGTGTTTCGTATGGACACCTGTCTATGACGCATGCACCTGCCAAAGATTGAATCCCCAGGCAGGCCACGTTAGAACTTGTTTCTCGTGGAACTTCATACGTGTGAGCACCTCTTGGGGGGGACGCATGGGCGTGGCACTGCAGCGCCTCCGTGCGCGCGCGTCTGCGTGTAGTGGCTTACAAAGGTGTGCCCACCCTGATGCGAATGTGGAGCATCGTACGTGCGAGGACTCCCCGTGCGGGTGGAATATCTTCCGCGTGGAGTTTCACGTGCGTGTGTGGGTGCGGAACATGGGCGTGTCGAACCCTACGTGCGTGGCGCTCCACGTGTGAAGAGCTCGAAGTGTGGACCTCCGTGTTCGTGGAACCTAGACGGAGACGTTGGGCGTACGCCGTTAGGATCGCTCGCGACCAGATTGCACTTTCCATGATGGCGCAGCGCAGCAAACTGAAAATCTGGGTTCGTCCACGCTGGAACTAACCTGCCCAGGTTCAACCATTCACACACATACCGTATAACACATACCGATGTGTTTTATAAAGTCAGCACCAGGAAACCAAGCAATCGCGACAAGCGTTTCTCCTCCGCTCCCATTGGCGCGGCCGCTTTCATGTACTCCCCTTACCTCCTCCATGTGCGCCAGCTCTCCCAAGGCCAGACATAGACAACAGCTGTAATACTGCAGTGGTCCACGTCCCTGGGTACTCCGTTGAATGTGGCCCGAACACCATATATCCATGTGTGACAACGAAATCGATAAGTTCCCGTTGAAAACAAGTTTCGCAAAGGCTCTCCCACTTAGTCATAACTCCTTAGTCTGTCCTCCCCCAGGAGGAGAAGGAGGAGGAGGAGGAGGGGGAGGAGGAGGAGGAGGAGGAGGAGGAAAGGAAGGAGAAGAGAAGACAACCTGATGAGGCATGAGGCGACAGGGTCATCGCGGTCCAAACACGGGCGGGCGAGTGCGGGACACAGGCCATAGCTGTCCAGACACCCACGCGCGAGTGCGGCACACAGGCCGTAGCGGGCCAAGCACCCACGTGCGAGCACGGGCCATGAAAGCCATGGCGGTCCAAACACCCACGGGCGAAAGCAGGAGACAGGGCCACAGCGGTCCGGGCACTCACGCGCGAGGGCCAGAGCGGTCCAAGCACCCACTGGATAACGCGCGGGGGACATGGCCATATCCGTGCAACACAGCGGGGACAGCAAACGCTGCTTTTAGAACAAATACCATCTGCAACCTCCATGCACACAAGCTTCCAATGCCCCCTCCAATGCACTGCGTTCCTCGTCCAATGTACGCAGCTCTGTGTTTCCGATTGCGCATATCACGATGGGGATCCTTTTTGAAGTTCCAGGTCCGCTATAACGCGCGCCGGCGCATAGAACAGCGCAATGGGAAATGATGGGTGGGAGGGGTAGGGTGTGAGATATAGCGCGGTCGCACCCAGTTTACCCCCCTTCCCTCTCCCCCCCTGGCACGCTGTCGTTGTTGTGATCCTTTCCGCTGAAGAACTCGGACAGCTCCACAAGCTCCTCAAGTCGACACCCCTCCTCTCGCCTCTCCCCCAGCGGTGCGTCCCTGACCTTGCTCGCTTCCCAATCCCACCAGCCCTTTAGGGCGTAGGTGGTCTAGAGAGCTTCCTCTTCCAACCCCCTTCTTCCCCTTCGGGGAATGGTTTATCACTGTTCCCTATTGATAAACACCCCCTCCCCCAGGCGACTGGTAGCCAACCAGGAACCATGAGGGCACCCCCCCACCATCCCTTGTAAAACACAATGCAAAACACACTCTGCCTCCAAATTCGGAGCATGCGCAGCCAACCCGATGCGGCCTCCCCCGACCATCCCTGTCAAATAACAATACAGACTACACTTGGCGGCGGCGGCGACGGCTGCGGCGGCTGCGGCGGCGGCGGCGGCTGCGGCGGCTGCGGCGGCGGCGGCGGCGGCGGTGGCGGCGGCGGCGGGGGCGGCGGCGGCGGCGGCGGCGACGTTTGCGGCGGCGGCGGCGGTGGCGGCAGCGGCTGCGGCGGCAGCGGCTGCGGCGGCGGCGATTCGGCAGCGGGGGCGGCGGCGGCGGCAGCGGCGGGCAGCGGCGGCGGCAGCGGCGGCAGCTGCGGCGGCGACGGCGGCGGCGGCGGAGGCGGCGGCGGCGGCGGCGGATTGGCCCCCAGTGGCTGCCCATCCAAAGACGACTGCTGAACATGCTGAGGCTCGGGCCAGACTCGGGTGCTACGAATGTGTTGGGAGGGCGGGTGGGAGTGAGCGACACGGCTGGCGGGCGGGGAGGGAGCCTTCACCCTTCCCCCTACCCCCCCCCCTGGATCTGGACGAGGGGTTCCGCGGGTAGTTGGAGCGTCCAAAACGGCCTCGGCGAGGAAGGCAAAATCACTGGTTTTACGCACGTTTTGGCTCCATTTTGGCCTCCTGGGGGGGGGCGAGGCTGATTAGGGACCCCCCCTCCTCTGATCGATCTCACCCAAGATGGCTCCAAGATGTTCCCGGCCCCAAGAGGTGGCCAGGAGGCCCCAAGAGGCCCCCAAGAGGCCCCCAGGATGCCCCCAAGAGGCTCCCAAGAGACCCCCAAGAGGCCCCAGGAGGCCCCCCAGAGGCACCCAAGACGGCCTCGGCGAGAATGCCAAAATCACTGATTTTACTCAGGCTTTGGCCTCCTGACTCCAAGAGCGCCTGGGAGAGCCTAAGATGACCTCCAAGATGGCTCAAGATATCCCAAGATGCCTCAAAATAGCTCCCACGGTGCTCCAAGGTGCCCCAAGACCGCTCCAAGACGGCTCTAAGTGGCCACAGAGCTCCCCCAGGAGGCCCCGAGGATGCCCAAATCCTTCCAAAACCTTAGGAAGTCAAAGTGGTTGGCTCTCTCGCCTTTTCGCTTCCGATGGCCATCCGAGGCCTCAAGATGGCTCCAACAAGGCCCAAGAGAGCTCCAAGAGAGGCTCAAGAGAGCCCCAAGATGGCCCCAAGAGCGCCCAAGAGCACTCCAAGAGCGCCCCAAGAACGCCCCAAGAGGGGACCTTTTGGGCTCCCGGGGGGCAACGCTAATTAATGCTCGCTTCTTGTTTGGTCGATGTCCTCCAAGATGGCCCCAAGAGCGCTCCCAAGGCTCCCAAGAGCGCTTCAAGAAGGCCCTAAGAGGCGCCCAGGAGGCCCCAGGAGGCCCCAATAGGCGCCCAAGAGGCCTCCAAGAAGCTCCCAAGAGACCCGCAAGAGGCCCCAAGAAGCTCTCCGAGGCACCCAAGACACTCTAAGAGGCGTCCGGGACCGCTAAGAGGCCCCCAAGACGCTCCAAGAGGCCTCCACTGGGGGACCCTTCCTCTGTGTGCTGCCCACTTCCCTGATCGAGGCAATTCCTCTGGGCATCGTTTCTGGTTGGGCTGGTGGGGTTACGCAAAGCGTCTAGAATTCCTCTCGACTGATGCCCCTTTATTCATCTTATTCCTCCTGCTCCTCCTGCTCCTCCTCCTCCTCCTCCTCCTCCTCCTCCTCCTCCTCTTTCTCCTCCCTCTTACCTTCTCTTCCCTCCTCCTCCTCCTCAACCACCTCCTCCTCACATCACCATCATAATCCTCATCTGCATCTGCATCTGCATCTGCATCTGCATCTGCATCTGCATCTGCATCATCATCATCATCATCATCATCATCATCATCATCATCATCATCATCATCATCATCATCATCATCATCATCATCATCATCATCATCACCATCACCACTTACCATCATCATCATCATCATCATCATCATCATCATCATCATCATCATCATCATCATCATCATCATCATCGTCATGATCATCATCATCATCATCATCAGCATCAACATCAACATCATCATCATCATCATCACCACCATCACCATCACCGTCACCATCACCGTCACCATCCCCATCCTCGTCACCATCACCATGACCATCACCATCATAATCATCATCATCCTCCTCATCATCATCATCACCGTCACCATCATCATCGTTATCGACACCATCAGCACCATCAGCATCATCATCATCACCACCACCACCATCATCATCATAATCATCAGCATCGGCATCATCATCAGCGTCATCGCCATAATCATCGTCATCGTCATCGTCATCATCATCATCATCATCATCATCATCATCATCATCATCATCATCATCATCATCATCATCATCGGCAGCATCATGATCATCACCATCATCATCATCACCATCATCATCACCACCACACTCACCATCACCATCACCATCACCATCACAATCATTGTCATCATTATCAGCATCAGCATCAGCATCAGCATCATGACCATCATGGTCATCATGATCATCAGCATCATTTTCATTATCATTCTTATCATCATCCCGCCTCCACTTCCAGTCCCCGCACCCCGTGCCCCTCACCCTGCGGCTTCTGATCGCGCTCGCGTTCCGCCCTGCCTGGGATGATGGCCCCGCACGAGCTCGATTACTGCAGCACGGGCGCAACCAAAGCTTTGTGCCCAACTCCGCTTGGCCCCTCGTGCTTCTGTGCACATGCCGTGTTCATGCTGACACGTCTGCTTGAATCGCCCCGTGCACGAGGCCATGGCTGACGGGACTGTCAGGAGCATGGGCAGCAGATGGGCATGCCCAAAGCTGTATCAGCATGTGGACGCGGAGGCGATGCATGCATCTTAGGGAGGGAAATCGTGGAGGCTTTAAAGATCACGAGGCGGAGGGACGGTGACTTGAGCAACAGCAGCGGCAGCACCAGCACCTGTTAGAACAGCAGGCAGCCCTGGACATCACTGGGAGCGGCTCGATGCATTCACCACGTCGTTTGGTCGGCAAAGGGGCTCGGCGCACAGGATGCATATACACGTCGACTGCCCAACCGTTGGAATGTTGGAGGGTGTGTACACCGAGCTCCGTCGCCAGACTCCTTGGCTCTCTGTCCGAACAAAATGGTGTGGTGTATACATCGAGCCTCTCCGAATCGCCAACGACATGTCGGCTCCTCCAGAGTCTCGGGCGGAGACTTCCCCCACCGCTCGAAGACATCGGCGCGATAGCCGAACGAGATGTAGTCGGTGTCCAAGGGGAGCGCCCGGACCTGGTCGTGGACAGCGCCCACCAAAAAGAGGGCAGGCAGAGCGTGCACGCGTAACTTCGAAGCTCGGGCTCGTACGAAGGAACTACCATGCAAACACAGCGCTGAACTGTCGGCACACTCACGAATAACATGTCGGGCCGCTGGTTCTCAGAGGAGCCCTCGAGGGCAACCGGGTGAGAGAGGAAGAAATGGACAGGCCGAACTGCACTCAGATACCACGTTGGCGCCGAGGCTCTAGCCAGGCACAGGAACACACGTGGAAGTCTGGATGTCGTGTAAATGCATTCTCGCTCAGGTCCCCCTGCTGGCGCTTCTTCTCTGTGCAAGTTCCCGCACGATTGGAATACGGCATGCTTCTCATGTCTTCTTTGTTTCGAGCGTAGCCCGAATGTGTTTCTCGCGAGGTAAACTGAACTGAAGTGAACTGAACCGAACTGAACTGAACTGACTGGTCGCACACGTTACGCGACGGTTTTGTTCGCGGCCGCCGAGGGCGCAACCCATGGCGCAACCGATAGAAGACGGTTGTATTCTCAGCCGCCGAGGGCGCAACCTATGGCGCAACCGATAAGAGACGGTGTTATTCTCGGCCGCCAAGGGCGCAACGCATGGCGCAACCGGCAGGAGACTGTTGTATTCTCAGCCGCCGAAGGCGCAACCTATGGCGCAACCGATAGAAAACGGTTTAAGTCTATGGCGCAACCGGTAGGAGACGGTTATGCTCTCGGCCGCCGAGGGCGCAACCCTTGGCACAACCGATAGAAGACTGTTTTATTCTCGGCCGCCGAGGGCGCAACCCATGGCGCAACCGACAGGAGACTGTTGTATTCTCAGCCGCCGAGGGCGCAACCTATGGCGCAACCGATAGAAAACGGTTTTACTCTATGGCGCAACCGATAGGAGACGGTTTTGCTCTCGGCCGCCGAGAGCGCAACCTATGGCACAACCGATAGAAGACGGTTTCATTCTCGGCCGCCGAAGGCGAAACCCATGGCGCAACCGATATGAGACGGTGGTATTCTCACCCGCCGACGGCGTAACCTATGGCGCAACCGATCGGAAACGGTTTTATTCTCGGCCGCCGAGGGCGCAACCTAGGGCGCACGGCTTTATTCTCAGCCGCCGAGGGCGCAACCGACAGGAGACAGTGATATTCTCAGCCGCCGAATGCGCAACCTATGGTGCAACCGATAGGAGTCGGTTATATTCTCGGTCGCCGGAGGCGCAAGCTACTGCGCAACCGATAGGAGACGGTTTTGTTCTCACCCGCCGAGGGCGCAACCTATGGCGCAACCGATAGGAGACGGTGTTATTCTTGGCCGCCGAGCCGCGCAACCCCTGTCGCAACCGATAGGAGACGGTTTTATTCTCGGCCACCTAAGGCGCAACCTATGGCGCAACCCATGGCGCAACCTAGAGCGCAACCTATGGCCTCTGCCGCCGACCCGAGAGAAAACCGCAAGCGGAGCAGCGAGGGCGTCGAGGACCCAGGTGCCAGGAGAAGGAGGACGAGCGGGAGGAAGAGGACAAATGAGGACGATGTCCTAGACGAGGACGAGGAGCTGGAGCAGGAGGAAGACGAGGAAGACGAGGAGGATGAAGAATAAGAGAAGGAGGACAACGACGATCAAGGTACCCGAAATTTCCAGACCTGGTTATCCAGAGGAGGGGAACAGAACTATCCTGCATGGATTTCGATGCTGCGCTGGGGCGGTGACAAGGACTGCGGAAGGCAGGTGAGCAGACGTACCGATGTACCCCGCGACCTCCAGCTTAAAAGAATTCCGGAAGGCCTCTTGCAGGGCAGAGGCTACGGTCGGGAACTTGCGCATAGCGTGTGGCAGCAGCGGCCCCGGCGACACACAATGCATTGCGAATGGATGGCGTGTCGCTCCGCTCCGCGGGCCGGGAGGCTCGAAAGGCTTGGGACGTGGACGCTTGGGAACTGACTGGGACATGGATAGCGTGTCGCGCCGAAGCGTGGTGGGCCAGAACCAGCGGAACGACACGCTATCCAAAAGTTCCGGACAGTAGCAGTTACTTGTGGGGGGGATTTAACTGCGAGAGGCAAGAAAGGTCACACACTCTCAGCCACACACACACACACAAACACTAACACATTTCTAAGTCGTCGGCGCAGAGGCTCCCCAAGCGCGGGCAGCAAATGGAAGTGCGAATTGCGATCGAGCGTTGTCGAAGCCACAGTGTACGAACCATCGCACACTGTAAGGTGCAAAGCGTAGCGGTGTGCTATAGAGAGAGAGAGAGAGAGAGAAAGAGAAACTGTAATCCCAAACGTAGACATGCAGCGGCCATAAAACTGAGGAGTGGACTCAACTCAAATTGAACAGACGCACAAGCAGACTGGTGCTAATTGCGGCCACTGGATCACCGACACGACGGTGTTAGGCAGTGAAGCGCAAAAGAACTGTAACTGCTGCTAGACAAGCAGATTGATGGGGTAAAGCCCCGAATTCTCCAGAGGTCCTGCGAAACAGATTGGTAGGGTGCTGACCTACGGACTGGCAACGCAGTAAAACACAAACACACACACACACTCATGATTGATGAAACCATGCGAGCACTGGGCATGACGCTGGGAGCCAAAGCGAAAGGACAACGGAGAACGATGAAGGATCTGAGCCCCGTGCCGTGTTGTCGAACGAGACGATCTGTCTCGACATCGAGTTGACGTCAAGCCAATCTAAAGATCTCGACTGCGCGATGAGCGGGCTGAGATTCTCGAGGCCGTCCTGTTCCCCCTCCCCCGCCCTCCTTGCTTAGATCTTCCGCATCTGCCTTCGCCTCGCCATTTCCCTTGTCCTCCTCCATCCTCGCATCCTCACTAAAACTTTCCATATTCTATCCTACCGCCCGTCTTCTTATTATTATGATTCGTAACGTCATAGTTCGCATTAGCATTACTAGTATTCTACATACTTAGTGTTGGTACGATTACCTTTTCATATTATCACTGAGACATTATTGCTGAGATTATTAGAACGCTTAATCAATTTCTTTTCGTTCCCCTTCTCCGCCTCCTCCTCCTCCTCATCCTCCAACCTTGCTTCCTTTATCTCCTCTGTCCCCTCATCGCCCCATCTCCTCCTCTATTATACATTCCGTCTCCTTTCGTCCTTCACAGCACCCTGCTTACATACGACTTTCCTTCTTCTGTGCGCAACCTGCTTCCAAATATGTGATTAACGTTCGGTCTTACCGCACCTGTCCTATCCATCAAACTGTTCCTCTCCTAATCTTAAGGCGGTTGCATCTGCGCCCCGTTAGCCGGAGAGGCATCCCACGAGGCCGAATCTGCCAACAGCATCTCACATAGAACGCAGAGAGGGGCGCAAGGGAGGGAGGAGAAGGAACGAGAGGAGAGCAAGCGACCAATCAATCAAGGAGACAACAACAGCTGGGGCGATCCAACCGCCAATGTAAAGAGAACTCGCCCTCGCGCATTGAGCGGGGCGGCGGCACGATATGGTACATGATCGACGGTGGGCGGAAATGCAGGCCGATTTTCCTTCCTTTTCCTTGCCATGTTCCTCCTCCTTCGGCCCCTTGCACTCACTCGGCACGCTCGCGATGGACTGCACGTTCTGAATGGTTCCCGCCTCTTTTGCCTTTCCCGCGTCCGCCTCCGCTTTCCGTGCCTCAATTCGTTCCCGGCGTGTCCCGCCCGTAGCACGACCGGCGCCTGTACCAGCTTCGACTCGCTTACGCCCGCTGACCTCCTCCTCCTCCTCCTCCTTTTCTTCCTCCTCCTCCTCCGCCTCCAAGGCCTGCTCGGTCGCGCGTGGCCGAAATTCGGTCGGTGGCGCTGGAAGCGCGTCCCCAGCCAGCCCAGGCACTGGGCGGCGCCCGTTTACGATAGGGAACTGTTGCTCAACGTGTCGTAGTGGCGGCCACGGCGACACGCTATGCCCTGCGAGCTGGTAGCGTGTCGCTCGGCTCCACGGGGCGGGGGCGGGAGGCTGGGAAGTGCTCGGGACGTGGACGCTCGGGGACAGCGACGTGGTCAGCGTGTCGCGCCGAAGCGCGGTAGGCCAAAGCCGGCGGCGCGACACGCAAAGCAACAGCCTTCTGACCGTGGGTTGCAACCGTGTTCTTTCCACTCCTCCATCTCCTCCCCTCTTGCTACGTCCACCAGTTTGCCCCCAAAAGCGCCAGCTCGAGGCCTGAATTCCTGCAGTCTATTTCTCGACCATCCTGTGGTGTTGGGTCCTCGCTTCGAAAAAATCCGCCGACCCTGTCGGCGTGTGTGAGACGCTCTTCCGCTCGTCGTCGTCGTCGTCGTCGTCGTCGTCGTCGTCGTCGTCGTCGTCGTCGTCGTCTATCCTCCTTCGCGCGGGCTTTAGACCAACACCCGGAGCGAGAGGGGGCCTGGAGCCCCCGACCAACACTCCAACCCCTACGACATCGAACAACGTGAAGGGGAACCCCTTCCCTTTCATTCCTTCCCGCTCGGGGGGGGGTCCCGGGGGGGGGTCCCTGGGGGGTCCAGGGGGTGGTCCACAGGGGGTCCCGGGGGTCGTGACCCCTTCCCCGGGCGATCCACCCTGTGGAGAAGGAGGACAGGCGGGTGGTCTCCGACAAAGGAGCCCCCCCCCCGCCCCGGTCCCAGCCCTGGCCCCGGCCTGGGCATCGGCTCCCAGCCTCGGCTCCGGTCCCCCTCCTGCTGCTCCCATTCCTCCTCCTCCTCCTCCTCCTCCTTTTCCTCCTCCTCCCCCTCTTCATCCCTCCGCCGCTCGCCCCATGTCCCGAGCCTGTGGCAGGATCATCAGCTCGTCGTTATCGTTGTCATCGTGGTCGTCGTCGTGGTCGTCGTCGTCCTTGTGGGTCGGCGGTACCGGTCGTTAAGGCTTTCACAATAGCGCCCCGCGTTCCTTCCTCTCTCCTCCCCTCCTACCTCCCCCAATCCCTGCTTCTGCCTCCATGCATATGCCCTCATCTCATCACCATCATGCGTACCCGCACCCGATTCCGCACACCCCTCACACATTTCGTGGCACCCATAGTAAACTCCACCGAAGACCCCAAGGGCAAGGTCCGCTTGGCGCGCCCGCACCCGATTCGGCACATCCCTCGTACATTCCGCGGCCCCAGTTCCACCGAAGGCCCGCGGGAGGGTCCGCATGGCGTACCCGCACCTGATTCAGCAAACCCCTCATACACTTCGTGGCCCCAGCCCAATCGGCATGGTCCGGTTGCCGCAACCCGAAATTAACCAATTTGACCCACCCCTCACACGCTTCGTTGCCCCCATAAGGAAATCCACCGCAGGCCCCACCGGCAGGGTCCGCATGGCGTACCCGCACCCGATTCGGCACACCCCTCACACGCTTCGTGGCCCAATGGGGAGCTCCAACGAAGGCCCCAACTGCATGGTCCGCATGGCGCACTCGCACCCGATTCGGCACACCCCTCACCAGTTCTGTGGCCCCAATGAATGGGCTCCACCGAAGGCCCCAGCGGGAGGGTCAGCATGTCGTACCCGCACCCGATTCGGCACACCCCTATACACGTTGGGTGACCCCCAAATGAGCTCCACCGCAGGCCCCAGCGGCATGGTCCAGTTGCCGCAACCCGAAATTAACCGATTCGGCACACCCCTCACACGCTTCGTGTCCCCGAAGGGAGCTCAACCGAAGGCCTCCTGGAATCTGGGGCCCTGGCGTATAGGGCCCAGGTATATACGGCCCAGGAATCCCTGGCCTGAGAGTCAAGGGCCAAGGAGTCCAGAGCCTTGGAAGCTGGGGTCGTGGGATCTAAAATGAAACCCTTGAATTTAAGGCGCAGGAGTCTAGGGCCCTGGAATCTAAGGCACAGGAGTCTGGGACCCTGGAGTTCAGAGCCCAGGTGTCTAGGGCCCTGGAGTCTGGGGCCCAGGAAACTAAAGCTTTGGAACCTAGGGCCCTGGAGTCTCAATTGCTTTGGAATCTAGGGTCCAGGAATCTAGCTAGGGCCCTCGAGTCTAGGGCAGGGCCTTTGAATCTGAGGCCCTGGAATCTTAGGCCCAGGACTCTAGGGCCCAGGAGTCTAGGGCCGGGGAGCCTTGGGCCCAGGAAGGAGTCTAGGGCCCCGGATTCTAGGGCCCAGGAGTCTAGGGCGCTGGAGTCTAGGGCCAGGAGTCTACGACAATGGAAGCGAGGGCCTAGAGATCCTGGACACTGGAGTCTTGGGCTTGGAATCTAGAGCCCTGATGGAATATATGCTCCATGAGTCTAAGGCCTTGGGGGTCGACACCGGTCGAACTCGGCTAGGTTCAACGAGGCCAGGCCCGATTCAGCTCAACTCGGCCAAACTCAACTCGGCCAAGCCGAACTCGGCCAGGCTCAACGCGGCCAGCGGCCAGCGGCTGAGCTCGGGGCTGGCCGAGCTGAGCCTGTCTGAGTTCGGCCTGGCCGAATTCACCCTGGCCGAGTTTAGCTGGCCGAGTTGAACCGGCCGAGTTGATCTCGGCAAGCCGCTGCAGCTGGAGGCCCGGCCGACTTGATCGGGCCGAGTTGAGCGGGGCCAAGTTGAACCCCGGCCGAATTGACGCCTGGCCGAGCTGATCCAGGCCGAATTGAGCCCCAGCCGAGATAATTCGGCCGAGTTCGTCTGGGTCCGAGTTGAGCCGGCCGAGTTAATCCGGGCAAATTGATCCCGGCCCAGCTGAGCCGGCCGAGTTCGTCCTGGCCGAGTTGATCCGAAGCGTTCCTGCCCCAGACAAACCCGAAAATCCAAAGAAAATCCCAGGTCCATGATCTTGAATACAGCGCTTCGCGCCGATTGCAGTGCTGGCGCTGCTTCGGCTGATAACCTGGATTTGGGGATAGAGTGGCCGTAGAACCAAACAACCCTTTATTGTAATAGGCCTCGGCTCGCCTTCGAAGGCAGCCGAGTTCCTATATGGTAACAGAATTACCGTTTGCAAAAGATGGGGGGTAGGGCGACGACGAAGAGGGCGCACGCAGCCGCGCGCGCCTTTCTGTCTGCGCCGCTCGACAGCGTAAAATGCTGCGGCGGGCGTAAAATTTTAAAACTAGTTCTCAACCTCGATCCTCAAGAGGACGGGAGGGTGAAGGCAACAGAAGGAGCGGGGGAAACCCAAAAGGCACCCGAGGGCCCCCGAAATCCAGCGGAATTACCGCTCAGAACAAACGTGCGCTATATAGGTGGGGTGAAAGACGAAACGCTACCGGGTGGTCTGGGACGGTCTGATTTTTACAATAAATGAGCGCCGAGGCAGAATCATATATGATTTGCAACGTCCCAGGGGGACCAGCTAAGTCCAGGGGAGAGGGTGGTAGAGTCCTTCTTCTATTGTGAGGTAAACCTATGTGGTGCAAGCTACGTGGTGCAAACCATGTGGTATCAGCAATCTGTGTGGCGCAACCTGCGTCGCGGAAGACCCATGGCGCCCGCGAGGCGCCCAGTGGCGGTGACCGGGCGAAAACCCATGAAAACCTAACCAATGCACGGGGTGCCCACGAAGCGCTCACGGGCGGCGACATAGGGAACCCGGCCAAAGCGAAGGGGTACCACGCAACGCCCACGAGCGGCGACCAGGCAAGAACCAGGGGAACCCTTAGAAGTGAAGCGAGATACCCTTAATGCAAGCACGGCTTGGTGCAATGTCATGTTCGCTCTCCTCCTGCTGCTCACCCTTGTTGTGGACGTTCGTATCAGCACGCGCGACCAGCGATATCGAGGCATGCGCCCCTGCAGTCCACGATGGCTGGGATCCAGGGCGCTTGCACGATGTACGAGTCGTAAATGCCAGCGCCTTCCTGGGAGCAAAACGGACAAGAGAATGGACGAGCGGAATGGAACTTGTGAGCAAAACATATGAAGCCAGGAACCGCTTCACGAAAAGCAAGCCCGCCCAGCAGCAAGACACATGCAACCACCTTCGAGCTGCAGTACCTGGTTGGCCTGATCCAGCCCCGCGTGAAATTATCACTGCAAGGGCTTGTTTCGCAATCGTGAGGCATAGTCTGACCAAACCTGAGTTGAACTTTGTCCCACCGCTCTGCTCAGAATCCGCGTGGAAATGGGATGTACCCGCTCTGCTTGCTTCGTGATAGTGCAACACACGCCAAAAGGATTGCACGCAGCGCATACCTATCAGAAGCACACAGCGGCGCGAACAACGCCTAAACCACTGCTTCAAACGCAATATGGCACGTCCAGCCATACCCGATTGACACTGTGTCACCGCCCCTCTGGTAAGAATCGACAACAAAAACCAATGTCTTCCCTTTCTGCCTCCGAGGCATGTATCGCGCGGGTGCGCGTGTGACAACAGTTTGTGCAACAGAAGGGGGGGACAATGGAGCACGCACGCGAGCTGCCACAGGAACTGCTTGGCATGAGCAGTCGGACTGGTTCAGTCAGACTTGGCCGCTCCTGTCTCACCGCTCTGCCGAAAGTCAACTGGAATCTCGGCCGTTTCATTCTGCCTCCAGCGCACAATTTGTCTTGGAAAACTTGCATTCTTAGCAAATTCGCCTCTCCTGCGATCGCAACATCCACGACAACTCAAAAACCCTCCTGGGTCGCTCCAAGACGGCAACAGAGGCCCCTAACGGCCTAACGGGGGGACAAGGGGCCCGAAAATGGCCAAGAGAGCACCAAGAGTCCCTCCGGACGGTCCAAGGGGGCCACGAGCCGCCGAAAGACCGATCGAAAACCCCCACGCTGGCCTGCAGGCGGCCCAAGACGCCCCCAAAAGCACTCAAGAGGCGTTCAAAGACGGCCTCAACAGTTACACTCGCACTATTTCAGTGGAAAGAGCTGCATTTTCAGCCAATTCGCTTCTCTTGCGATCGCAACATCCACGACACCCCAAGAAGCCTCTTGGATCGCCCCAAAAGGCCCCCAAGATACCCTCATACTACCCACGAGGGCCCCAAGACCCAAGACCGCTCAACAAAAAACCCACGACGGCTCAGGATGGCCCCGCGATTGTCCAAAGAGGGGGTCTGAAGGTGAAACCCACACGGACATTTCGAGCCTTCTACCTCGAACCGCCGCCCGGTTTTCCCAAGAAACCTCCAAGAGGCTCCCAGTGAGCTCTGCGAGGCTCCCAAAAAGCTCCTCAGAAACCTCCAGGAGGCCCCCAAGAGATTCAAAAACGGAAATCCCAAACACCCCCGAGACGCCACCCACGAGACCCCGTCCGCCATCCGCGTGGCCTCCGACCCGCAGCCCAGGCGGGGTGGCGGGATGTGCCGAAAGCTAGTCGATACTATGTGTTTGGGAATGTGAACATATGCCCAATGTTAGCACACGTGGGTTCTCGCAAGTTCCCCTGCCCGTGCACGGCGAGCATTGAACATGTCAGCCGAACAAACAAACATACCCTGGCGACGTACCCAACCCTTGCGCAATGCGGGGCATAAGAATATCAGAATTGCTACAACGGGGGCGATGACGTAACATAGACGCATGTGATTTTGCGAGCAGCAATCGGGCCCACCGATCAAGATCTAAGGGCTGCGTTATAACAAATCACCCCCGTTGGCTGTGCCATGCGCCCGTTGCGCCCAACGTATCCCACAGCAGCTCTTGAAAACCCCCGCGGGATACGTGTAAGCGCAACGTTATGGCCATCGCCCGGCATATGGTCTGTTTCACAAAATCACCCCCGTTGGCTGTGCCATGCGCCCGTTTTGCGCCTAACGTATCCCGCAGCAGCTCTCCACAGCCCCCCAGGGACGGCGAGGTCTCGTTCAGATCCCCGCGGTGCCTCACTCCGCAGGACCCACCAGCAACCCTCGAACGTGGCGACCGCGTCGCAGATCGCACCCCCCCCAGGGACGGCGAGGTCTCGCTCAGATCCCCGCGGTGCCTCACTCCGCAGGACCCACCAGCAGCCCTCGAAAGTGGCGACAGTGTCGCGGATCGCAGCCCCCCAGGGACGGCGAGGTCTCGCTCAGATCCCCGCTGTGCCTCACTCCGCAGGACCCACCAGCAGCCCTCGAAAATGGCGACAATGTCGCAGATCGCAGCCCCCCAGGGACGGAAAAGTCTCGCTCAGATCCCCGCGGCGCCTCACCCCGCAGGACCCACCAGCAGCGCCCTCGAAAGTGGCGACCGTGTCGCAGATCGCAGCCCCCCAGGGACGGCGAGGTCTCGCTCAGATCACCGCGGTGCTTCACTCCGCAGGACCCACCAGCAGCCCTCAAACGTGGCGACAGCGTCGCAGATCGCAGCCCCCCAGGGACGGCGAGGTCTCCCTCAGATCACCGCGGTGCCTCACTCCGCAGGACCCACCAGCAGCCCTCGAAAGTGGCGACAGCGTCGCACATCGCAGCTCCCCAGGGACGGCGAGGTCTCGCACAGACCCCCGCGGTGCCCCACCCCGCAAGACCCACCAGCAGCCCTCGAAAATGGCGACAGTGTCGCAGATCGCAGCCCCCCAGGGACGGAAAAGCATCGCTCAGATCCCAGCGGTGCCTCACTCCGCAGGACCCACCAGCAGCCCTCGAAAGTGGCGACCATGTCGCAGATCGCACCCCCCCAAGGACGGCGAGGTCTCGCTCAGATCACACCCGCGGCGCCTCACTCCGCAGGACCCACCAGCAGCCCTCGAAAGTGGCGACAGCGTCGCAGATCGCCCCCTCCCCCCCCCCCCCCCCCCAGAGGACGGCGAGGTCTCGCTCAGATCCCCGCGGTGCCTCACCCCGCATGACCCACCAGCAGCCCTCGAAAGTGGCGACAGCGTCGCAGATCGCACCCCCCTCTGGGACGGCGAGGTCTCGCTCAGATCATTCCCGCGGTGCCTCGCTCCGCAGGACCCACCAGCAGCCATCGAAATTGGCGACAGCGTCGCAGATCGCGCCCCCCCCCCCCCCAGGGACAGCAAGTCTCGCTCAGATCCCCGCGGCGCCTCACTCCGCAGGACCCACCAGCAGCCTTCGAAAGTGGCGACCGTGTCGCAGATCGCAGCCCCCCAGGGACGGCGAGGTCTCGCTCAGATCCCCGCGGTGCCTCACTCCGCAGGACCCACCAGCAGCCCTCGAAAGTGGCGACCGCGTCGCAGGTCGCAGCCCCTCAGGGACGGCGAGGTCTCGCTCAGATTCCCGCGGTGCCTCACCCCGCAGGACCCACCAGCAGCCCTCGAAAGTGGCGACAGCGTCGCAGATCGCACCCCCCCAAGGACGGCGAGGTCTCGCTCAGATCCCCGCGGTGCCTCACTCCGCAGGACCCACCAGCAGCCCTCGAACGTAGCGACCATGTCGCAGATCGCACCCCTCAGGGGCGGCGAGGTCTCGCTCAGACCCCCGCGGTGCCTCACTCCGCAGGACCCACCAGCAGCCCTCGAAAGTGGCGACCATGTCGCAGATCGCACCCCCCCCCCCCCAGGGACGGCGAAGTCTCGCTCAGATCACACCCGCGGCGCGCCTCACTCCGCAGGACCCACCAGCAGCCCTCGAAAGTGGCGACAGTGTCGCAGATCGCCCCCCCCCCCCCCCCCAGGACGGCGAGGTCTCGCTCAGATCCCCGCGGTGCCTCACTCCGCAGGACCCACCAGCAACCCTCGAACGTGGCGACCGTGTCGCAGATCGCAGCCCACCCCCAGGGACGGCGAGGTCTCGCTCAGATCCCAGCGGTGCCCCACTCCGCAGGACCCACCGGCAGCCCTCGAAAGCGGCGACAACGTCGCAGGTCGCAGCCCCTCAGGGACGGCGAGGTCTCGCTCAGATCCCCGCGGTGCCTCACTCCGCAGGACCCACCAGCAGCCCTCGAAAGTGGCGATAGCGTCGCAGATCGCACCCCCCCTGGGGCGGCGAGGTCTCGCTCAGACCCCCGCGGTGCCTCACTCCGCAGGACCCACCAGCAGCCCTCGAAAGTGGCGGCAGCACTGCAGATCGCAACCCCCCAGGGACGGCGAGGTTTCGCTCAGATCCCCGCGGTGCCTCACTCCGCAGGACCCACGAGGTCTCGCTCAAATCATCACCGCGGCGCCTCACCCCGCAGGACCCACCAGCAGCCCTCGAAAGTGGCGACAGCTTCGCAGATCGCACCCTCCCAGGGACGGCGAGGTTTCGCTCAGATCCCCGCGGTGCCTCACTCCGCAGGACCCACCAGCAGCCCTCGAAAGTGGCGACCGTGTCGCAGATCGCAGCCCCCCAGGGACGGCGAGGTCTCGCTCAGACCCCCGCGGTGCCTCACTCCGCAGGACCCACCAGCAGCCCTCGAACGTGGCGACAGCGTCGCAGATCGCACCCCCTCAGGGACGGCGAGGTCTCGCTCAGACCCCCGCGGTGCCTCACTCCGCAGGACCCACCAGCAGCCCTCGAAAGTGGCGACCGTGTCGCAGATCGCAGCCCCCCAGGGATGGCCAGGTTCGCGCAAGGCAAGAGGAGACAACAAGGGAACAGGAGACGGGAGGCGGGAGGAGAACTGGAGACCGCAGTGCTCGAATCAAAGCGATTACCCAACCAGGGAAGGTTGGTAAATAATTGCCGACGCTGGTTGTGCCGCGAGTACCGTGGGCCCATGGGATGGGACATCTTTGGCGAGCGCGCGGCAGACTGTCCAAGAGGGCCCCGACACGCCGAACGGCTCGCACCGAGACCCACGCGACGGTTCCAAAACGTCATGTGACATATGCCCACCAAATGTATACGTGGGTTCTCGCCCGTTCCCCCGCTCTTTCTCGCACGCCAGAGCGGCCCAAACAAAGCGCCAACACAGTCCAAAACAGCGCCGAAAAGGCCCAAGGTAGCCCAACGACGATCCAAGATGGCATCGAGACGGCATCCGACCCGCCCGAGACGGCCCAGCAGTCAACCAATGGTGCGTCGGAGGCATGATTTCTTGCTTTCCTACGCGCATGTCAAAGAGAGGAACTGTTCCTAATGTAATCGGCATGGCCTGAAGACTATCATCCCATCATATCCTCTCCACATCATGTCCCCCCTTCGACCACCTCCCCGACAAGCCTCCCCTGAGCATCACCCCGACCAAGCTTTCGAGACGATTGTAGCTCCTGCGACGAAGGCCCTCGCGCGGCCTACGCGAATCCAGTAGCTACGCCTGCAAACAACGTCACACCAACACTCCGGCGTCGGTGGGTTAGGGGAGCATCGTCCTAACCTCTTCTTCCCCTTTGGAAAGTGATCTACCCTTGCTCCACATTCATTGACACCCCTCCTCGACAGACGGCCGACCCAAAGCAAAAAACACCCCCCCAAGTATCCTGGTCACCACAATAATGACAAGGAGAAACGCACTTTGCGACATGACCTGGATCATCTTCGGGCGTCCCGTTCCCACTGTGTATTGGTTTGGTACACGACGGCAGGGGGCATCATATTACCCCGTGTTTGCAGGCCCACCATCCCTCTCAAGACAAAGCATTGCAATATGCACATGGCGGCAACATCCCCCGACCCCCTGGGGTGTCCTCAACGTGTGAGATGCGAACCCCTCCCCCGACCCCTCCACCCAGATCCCGGTCTGGTCGATTTGGAGGGAGGGTGATCCGCCCGATACCCCAGGCCCGGCCCCACCGCATCATGGGAGGATAGAGGCCCCCGCAACGAGCCCATAAGCCCCAAGAAGCCCCCAAGACAGTCCAAGAGGGCCCCCAGGACGGCCAAGTAGCCTCCAGACGGCCCAAAACGCCCCCAACACGCCTCCAAGATCCTCCCAAGAGAGCCTCACGTGCCAACATTCATTGATGTTCAATCCGGTTTTGAAAGAATTTAGCGTTCTCTCCATTTCGGTTTCCCGACACTCCACGGTGGCCCAAGAGGCTCCAAAGATCCCCGCAGACGGCCCCAGAAGCCTCCAAGAGGGCCCCATAAACATGCAAAGAGAGCCCCCACACGGCTCCGACGAGAGCCTCAGAGGCCTCCACCATGGCCCAAGAAAGTCCCCCGACTACCGCAAGAAGGGCCATGGAGGGGAACCCGAGCCGCATTTCGAGCCCTCCGCCCCCCGAGACCCGTGATAATCCTCCACGAAGCTCCAAGAGGCCCCCAAAAGGGCACCAAAGCCTCCCAACGGCGCCCAGGCTCTCAGGAGCAACCCACCACAATTGTCAATTCCCCAATTGGTCGGCGGTGTGGCGTGAGCCCAGGAATCTCTTCTGTGTTAAATTTGCCTCCAGCACATCCTCAGAATGTGTGCGCGACTCTTGAACACGATTCATAGAAAGCTGATGAGAAGCGTCGTTGCGCAACAAGACACAATTACTGCTGCAATACCACTGACTTTGGCAACCACTCAATGCAGTCACGTCTTGGGCGCTCAACCTACAAATGCGGGTGCGTGTTGGAGAGTCTGAGTGGCATCGAAGTTAAACAGAGTCGCCCTACCAGAAGATGGGTGTTGGTTTTGGTTCGTGCTGGGCCCGCAGGCGAGGCGAAGCAGCACGAGTTCCTGCACGAGCTAAGCCCAAACCACTCAAAAATGATCGCGGACCTCGGGGGTGTGCCCGGAATTGTCCCGCGGTTTTCCCGTGAATGCGGCATTGTCCCACGATTGTCCCCTGGTCCTCCCGCGAGTGCGCGGTTGTCCTGCGGTTGTCTTGCGGTTGTCCCGGGGGTGTCCCGCCAATTGCCCCGTGGTTGTCCCGTGGATGACGCGGTTGTCCAAAAGATGCCTCGCGGATGTCCCACTGTTGTCCCGTAGTTGTCTTGTGGTTGACCCGCGGTTGTTCCCTGTCAGTCCCGTGGTTTTCCCATGGTCCAATGGCTTTCTCGTCGATGTCCAATGGTCTTACCGTGGTTGTCCCGCGGTATTCCCGCGGTTGTCGCGTGTTTGCCACGTGGTAGTCACGTGGTTGTTCCATGGTAATCCCGTGGAAGTCCCGTGGAGGTCCCGTGGTCGTCCCGTGGTTGTCCCAGAGTCGTCCCGTGATTGTCCCGCGGTTGTTCCGTGGTCGTCTCGTACTTGTCCTGTGGTTGTCCTGGGCTTGTCCCGTGGTTGCCCCGTGGCTGTCGGTGGCTTTTCCATGGTTCCGCGGTTCTCCAGCGCTTGTCCAGATCAATCACATATCAAGGCACCTTTGATCACAAAGCGAACACGGCTCAATACAAACACTGCTCCCGGGATCGAGCAACGCTGATCCATCTCTCCTATATTTACAAGCGATGCCTCTTGTAACTCTATTATATCTCGCCTAACTCTTATACCACTTCAGGCCCTGCTAAGCCTCACATCGTTTCTAGATGTTCGGCCTGTGCGAACTCTATACGGCATCCTCGTGTTCATTCTTCAGCTATTGAGACAACGCGGAAGCTTGAGGTGGTGGCGGAGGTGGAAGAGGCAAGCCAAACATTCCAGAGGCGCGGCCGATAGCAAACAGGAGCATTCAAAACTCACATCTCCCTCCCTTCCTTCCTCCGTTGGGCACACGCTAACATGGATCGGGGAAGGTAACCCCCTGAAACGTGAAGCCAGTGCCATTTCATTTGGCGACGGAGCGCGCCGATCCTGCATGGAAACGGGACCCGTCGCTAATCCACAGGCTTTCAATCCATGCTGGTGGTTCCTCGACACCCTCCCTCCCTCACTCCATCCCTTCCTCCACCGCGGGGGGGGGGGGGGGGCGGTCCCGGGAGGAGATCGCTGGAGGCGGTCGCGGGGGGGTCCCGAGGCCAACAGGGCCCGCAAGGGCCCCCACGAGGGGTCGCGAGCGTCGTAATCGCCGCCGTCGTCTTCGTCGTCCCCCTCGCAAAGCCTTCCCAATCCATGTTGGCGGCTCTCGACTCCCTCCCTCCATCCCTCCCTCCCTCCCTGGGGAAGCCAGAAGGTACTGATACAGCTACTCCCTGGACCTCTCCCAGGATGCGTACTGGAATTTCGAAGCGAATCCAGATGGGGCGACGAGGGCTTCCCAAGAAACCCAAAATGGCGAAAACGAGGGAAGTGTAACGGTATGGGTACCTTTTCCTCCTCTGGGCGAGGGCCTCCCAGGCTCAAAAAAAACGAAAACGAGGGAACCGTAGCGGTATGGGTCACTTTTCCTCCTCGGACTCCCTCCTCCCCCTCGCGGCGCAGCCCCGGGAGCAGCTCCGAGCTGAAGGTGGCGCCGTTGCCAGCTACGTACTGCACGCCCACGTCAGCCTCGAGGGCTGCCTGGGAGGAGGGACGGGGAGCAAAAGCCGGAGAGGAGTGAAAGGAAGAGGGGGGGAGGAGTGAGAGAAGAAGGAAGAGGAGGAGGAGGAGGAGGAGGAGGAGGAGGAGGAGGAGGAGGAGGAGGAGGAGGAGCAGGAGGAAATCCATGGAGGAGTAAGAGGAGGAGGGAGGAGGAGCAGGAGGAGGAAGAGCAGGAGGAGGAGGAGGAGGAAACGCAGGACGATGAGGAACCGGAGGGCGAGGAGGAGGAGGAAGGGGGTGGAGGCATGAGTAGGCAGAGGAAGGAGGAAGGGCCACAGGATGGAGGGAGGGAAAACGCAGAAGAAACCACAAATCTCGAGCCTCGAACCTTCCGCGAGAGCCACGTCTGACCACATTGGCCAACGGATTAACCGCAATGCCCAGGGTGTCACGGAACGCCCCTACGTATTTGTAGCTTGACCGCAGCCCAGCATGTTTTGAGTCGCGGCTCTCGCGGACGCTCAGCACGTCGAAGCGGCACAAGCCAAGCTACGGGATCGCGGCTTGGGCACAGGAGACGAATGTAAGGAGGGGGACGGCCGCGGTGAGGGGAGGGAAGGGAGGCGCAAACTCGCGCTCAGATCCCACACGGTCAGAACTGACAGCAATGATGCGCGGTGAGGACGCAAACCCCTGGATAACCTGCCCAAGGTAATCCTTGCATCCGTGCCTATTTGGTCCATCCTTGACTGCTTCCGATTTGCCGCCGCGCTCGCAAAAACTGCAACTCGGGCGCCCAAGGGGCTTGCATCCTTATCGCGCGTCCCCACTCTCAGTTTTGAATGCAGGACCCATGGGGCCCACCCGATGGCAAAGGCGCGCGCAGAAAAGGAGAGACACCCACGCGCCACCATGGGTCCAAGATTGAACGGATCGACGCCAAAATGGACCCCCGCGAAAGGAAAAGCAAACATCTGGCCGGGTTCCAAGCCTGGCGCCCACACGGCACATGGGCAAATATGCATTTGTAAGACGCGAAACATCGATCACTGCTGGACCCATGCTCAATCAGTATTTGCAAGAGGATCAGACGATTCGGACATAATGAATGGTAGATGGTCTTGCTATACTATCGCCCTTCGGTCTACTATCTCAACGGCTTGGATGTTCATAGACTCGGCAACTGTGTGACGTGAGTCTGTAGAGCAGGAACTAGCGAGTAAGCGTGATGGCGCGAGCGCACTAGAGGGAAGCGCGCAGACCTTTTCTTTGTCATTCGTAGCCAAAACAGCTGCGGCCCACGCGATGACTAATGTCAATGGTCGATGGCGGCGGCGGCAGCGGCCGACGGCACGGACGGAGCCATATTAACTCCCCCCGCGGCAGGATGCGCAGGCCTAGCTACGGCGAAATTCCCACGCTTCGCGCACTCCCCAGGCACAGCGCCCCCCCGGGCGCCAACCCAAGAAACGCTTTTACGGCGCACGGGGCGGGATCGCATCTACTCCTGGCAAATGCTTGAAGCGAGCCGAAGCAGACTGGCGCATCCCACAAATAATACGATGCGCCAGCTCATCGCAGGTGCTCTTGGTCAGAATCTTTGTCTTGATCTTCACGAACATGTAGACACCGAACAACATGCGGCTGGACTGTACATGTTCGCGGTCAAAGACGTGTCAGCCCGAGGCGACGCACGGTTGAACCGCGCGCTCCTTCTGAATTATCGGCAGTCGACCAGACCATCTGCATTCAACGACGGGTTTCCAAATTGCATATGGCACCACTTATTTGTCCTTTCCCTCTTTCCCTTCGTAGGATACAACTTATTCGAATCTTGAATATTCCACCACTGCCATGTGTGGAAGAACTGGTAGTGCACGCACCGTCCATGTCCACCCCAGTAGTGTTCATTACTATCCCAATACTAATCTCGTCGTTGCCGTACTCCCTCTGGATGTCGCGGAATCTTTCATGCATCGCCGATGTTGTCGCAGATGCCGTTGCAGTTAACGGCCTTTCCACAGGGATCGTGACGTCACCGACATGGATGTCCGCGCGTCTAGCCTTCGGTGCCGGCGAGCCTCCGGTGCTTCTGGCAACAGGTTTCTTCGGGGGCGACGGCCAGCGATTAGACGGTGCCAGAGGCGTAGCAGGCAGAGTAAGGGCCGCATCGCTCCATCGTGATCGGCTGCCGGTTGAACCAGCAGCCGCGCGATTGGCATCGTCTACCTGCATTACACTACCCGATGCCGCGGCACCGCCACTGACTGAGTCAGCAGCGGCCCCTGGCATGGGCACGCTTATCGGGCTGGCCTTGGCCGCTCGGGCAACGCTGCCGGCTGAGCTGGCAGCGGCCTCAATGCCTGTCGCACTCATCTATCGGTCCTACCAGCTGTTAACCTTCATCAACATCCATGCGGTCAGCATCGCCGACTGAGCCAACAATGGGCCTTTCTTCTTCTTTGCGTACACGGATGACGATTCGGATGTCATATGACCCCACAACGCTGCGTTGTCGCCTGTAATTTCCTCCGCCCTGTTGAACTGGGCGCCGAGTTCAGCGATGCGCGCGTGTATCCGGTAAGCGAGGGAGCGCACCTGGATCTGAAGCGCCTGACCTCGGCGCCAAGCACCCAAGCGCCCAGCGCCAATCCTTCCGCCGTCCTGACCTTGCGCTGAGCACACGTCTACTGCCGTCTTGACCTCGGCGCCAAGCGCCCAAGCGTCAATCCTTGTCTGTTTAGGACAGTGTTGAACTCCAAACGGAATTTGAGCCTCTAGGTCCCAATCAGGAAAAATCACATAGTGGGCCGCCGATATGATCTTTGCGACCAACTCCCTGATTATTATAAGCACCCAAAGGAGCCGCAGCACCAGGGAAACCTCAAGCAATTTCCCGAAATTGTCAACGCAGTACTTGAAGCATGTGGAGGGCTCATGCTTCTCCTCGCTACTACCCGCCTCCTTCACGTACTCCATCATATACTAGGCAGTCACGCTTTTGGCGTGGGCCTCGGATGTGAAGATAGCCAGGCCAAGGTTTTCCTCCATGTTCTGGACTGGCAGATCCGCAGAACCATCGGGTTTGAGGATGGCGATTTGTTTCCCGTCTGGGAGGTCAATGCCCGCGGCGCCATCCTTCGCGCCCGTGATGCCCATGGCAGCGAGATTGAATGGGGATAATACTTCGTCTTCACTGTCGTCAGGACGCGACGAAAAGCAGACCGGCTCAAGCGCTTGAACCGCCTGAGGGTCCTCTTTGTGCTCCCAGGCCCAGTAGTCCTCCGTCGGGCGACCGATCTGGTCGTTCTATGGGGCCTGTCCTGGAAATTCCGAATGCCCGCAACCGGATTATCCGTCTGCGCAACAGGATTCGAGGTCTCGGGGCCCAGCTGCTCGGCTGCAGCTGCTGGGCAACTGGTTGAACCGGCAGCCTTAGCGAGACGGCCTTGGCAAGACAAGCCGGCGCAGGCATGATATTTCCCTGGCTCATCTGAAGGTCCTCCGAAAGCTCCCACCCATCAGGGGGCGTGGCGACTTCGCCCCTCACGCTCCCCCAATCAAAGATTGCCAAAGGGATCAAGCCATAGGCATAGAATACTGATCCATCAACTGCCACAAATCGCGCCACCAAATGGATACAGGGGCGACGTCGCTCTTGTAACTGATGCATTCGATGAACCTTTCCTTGAGCGGTTCCATGAGCAGGAAATGCGGCTCAATTCTTATCGGGGGTAGTCAAGCGGGGTCACGGCTTCCCGCGAGGGAACGGATCCTGGTTCGCTGTGAGAAACGTCGGTCCTTCACTGGACATCTTTCACCTGGTTTGCTGACTATCGAACCATCGACGCTTCGACCTATCGCGCATGCGAAAGTTATTCTCGACGATGGCCGAAGAGGAACCCTGCCTGCCACGTCGCTGAGCGACGGTCAGGTTAATGTTCTCGGTCTCCACTATCAGCCTCAATCCCTGGTCTCTCAGGCTCTCTTGGATCGCCCTCACCGACATCGCAAAACATAAATCCCGGCGAATGGGAAGCCGATGGGAAGCAGGCATGCCCCAAACCCCGAACGTTATTCGTGGAGCCGTACACAAGTGTAACGACCATCACCTTTCCAGGGTGAGGCCGCAAGCCTCACTGCGTCTGCTTCAGGTATCTCGGGTGGTTGAACCGCCTGAGCACCCTCCGGGCAGAGTATCATCGGCAGCCTCCGCAATCGGAGAAGCGGGTTCATCCGATTGGAGGTACCCGACAAGTTGAGTTCACGTGAATGCAACGCCCATGCTCGCCCACGAATGGTTGAACCTTACGTTCCAAACGACGCAAGTCACTGTTCCCAACCATCCTGTGGTCCACGTGGTGTTGGGTCCTCGTTTTGAAGAGACAGCGCCCCGCGTTCCCTCCTGCCCTCCTTCTCCCCCTCCTCCCTGCGTTCCCCCCGCCCAGTGCAGCGCTTCGTGGCCCCATAGGGAGCTCCGCTGGAGGCCCAAGTGCTACCGCCCGCATGCGCCCCTTCCCACGCAGTATACAGCGTTTCGTGGTCACGCAGGGAGCTCCACCGAAGATCCCAATGCTACCGCCCGCATGCGCCCCCCCTCCACCCAGCACAGCGCTCGTGGCCGCCCGCATAAGGAGCTCCACCAAAGGTCCATGTGCTACCGCCCGCATGCGCCACCCCTTCACCCAATACAGCGCTTCGTGGCCCCAGGGGGAGCTCCACCGAAGGCCCCGGCGCCACCGCCCGCACGCGCGCCCCCCCCCCCCGAGCACAGCGTTTCGTGACACCATGGAGAGCTCCACGGGCGGCCCCAGTGCTACCGCCCGCACGCGCCTCCCCCACCCAACATAAGCGGTTCGTGGCTCCAAAGGGTGTTCCACCGAAGGTCCCAGTGCTACCCCCCGCACGCGCCTCCCCCACCCAGCGCCGCACTTCGTGGCCGCATAAGGAGCTTCACCGAAGGTCCATGCCCGCATGCGCCCCCCCACTCAGTGCAGCGCTTCGTGGCCCGTGGCCCCATAGGGAGCTCCACCGAAGGCGCCAATGGCACCGTCCGCGTGCGTTCCCCCCACCTACTGCAACGTTTCGTTGCCCTAGAGGGAGCTCCACCGAAGGCCTCGGTGGCACAATCCGCATGCGCCCCCCCGCCAAAAAAGGTGTTTCGTGGTCCCGTAAGAAGCTTCACCGAAGATCCCAGTGGAACCGTCATCATGCGCCCCCCCCCCCCGCCCTCCCCCCCCCGCCGGCCCCAATGGCACAGTCCACATGCGTCTCCCCCACCCAGTAAATCCACCGAAGGCCCCAGTGGCAAAATTCGCCACCGCCCAGCACAGCGTTACGTGGCCCATAGTGAGCTCCACTGGGGGCCCCAGTGGCAAAATTCGCATGCGTCCGCCCCGCCCAGCACAGAGTTTCGTGGTCTGCGAGGAGCTCCACCGAAGACGATTCCCACAACTGCGAGACACACAACTGCATACGGTTGGGTCCCTCACAAGACGTTTAAATGTTTTTGCTTGTTCTCTCTCTCTCTCTCTCTCTTTCTCTCTCTCTCTGTCTCTGTCTCTGTCTCTATCTTTCTCTCTCTCTCTCTCTCTCTCTCTCTCTCTCTTTCGACTCCCTCAAGTAGTGCAACGTGATCTGATTTGAAATATCCGCCCGACAGGGGCGTTGATTGGAAGCCAGTTTCCCGTCAGGTGTCACTCGGGATTTGTACCTCAACGACACCTTGGGTTTAACATTCAATATAACTATATGTTCCCACTGAGACCGATGGTCCTCGTGCACATGCTAGAAGAACTCAAGACTCAAGCATCGGTAGACCCAGCTCCCCTCTCACGGGCGTCGCACTAGGATCCTCCAGACCGGTTGAACGGGCCTGGGGATCTTGCTGGGCCAGAGGAGGAGGAGGAGGAGGAGGAGGAGGAGGAGGAGGAGGAGGAGGAGGAGGACGACGGTCACTGACGGAAAGCCCACGTGAGCTAAACCAGTGTGGGATCGCGTTGGCTGCCACGTTGTGCTCAGGGATTTCCCTGGCCGTGGGGAGAAGCCTCATGGCATCGTAGTCAGGAATATTGAAAGGGGCCCGGATGTGCTTCCGGGTGCTGAGCCTCCCCCCGCATCTACTACTCGCTCTCAGCGGAGTAATTTGCAGCAGTGGTCCGCGGTGCTCGGACAGCCCGTTGAACTCGCGCGGCGCGTGCATGCGCTCGACGCTGGCAACGGAATGGGGGGGGGTCAGTTTCCAAGCTCACTGAGCCAGCGGGGATCACCTGTCACGGTCCCGAAGATCTGAAAGGCGCCCAGCGACAACGCGGTTAAACCGTGCATCGCCAAACCAACCGTTTCATTATGAAAACCGTCTGCCTACATCTTTAGTTCGATCTCCTGAAGGAAGCACCGCTCTCCAGGATTTCGAACATGAAGCCGACGGCGCCGGGCGAGGTGCAGCACCAAACTCCCGATGCACCTCGCCTTTGCGTCGGAACGGCAACCGATGCCCTTCCGCGCCCCTAGAATGCCGGAGTCGCGTCCAGAATGAAGGCGACTAGCTTCTTCAACGCAACGCGAGGGACATCGTCAACATATTCGCGGCGTGGACATAAACTACCGCTGATCGGCACTGGGCGTCTTCATCCAAGGTGGCCAGATACGCAAACACAGGGTCGTGCATAAATCTGGCTTTGCGGCTTTGCGGTGGGGCATTTAAAGCGTTATCCACCTCGCCCTCGCAAGATGCTCAGGAACTGGCCCCAACGCGCGTACTCGGCCCACGTCCTTCTTACTGCGCAGCGGGGTCCGCGCTAGGACCTTGTTCTGACTCGCAAGCGACACGGACGGCGAATAATCGACCCTTTCCACGGGGCGGAACATGTTGGGCGCAGAACCTAGCGGAGGTGGAACTCCCGGGGGCAACTGGGCCTTCTCCGGGAACGTAGGCGTTCCACTCAGGCAGGAGGGATCGTCTGTGCGTCCAGGACCAAGCATACTGTCCTGGTAGTCATGAGGGTATACTCGTCGAGGTCGTGGTCTTTGGGCATCCGAGCAAAGGGCACTTCCTCCTCCACGGCCTGGGTCGAACCTAGATCGGCAGCATCCGCGCCCATCTGTTCGCCGACGTCGCCAACAACTGGACCACCCAGGGTCAAGCCCCGTGCGCCAGATTCTTATTCGGTTGCCATTCCTTTGTCGAGATCCTAGAGATAAGCACCATCTCCAGGTTCCTTATGAACGCTCTCGGTCGATGCGGGCGCGCCCTGGAACTCCTTCTTCCTCCGGTGGCTTCGCTCCCCCCGAGTTTCCAAGGTCAATGCCCTCTATTTATCCTTGAGGTGCTGCGCTTTCTTGTGCGACCTATAAGGGCGCATGCTCCGCGGTTGGCGCAGTCTCGGGCGCGGGGAAATCATCCACGGCTGAGCCGCGCATGCCCTCCTGCTCCTGCTCTGTCTCGCATGCCGGAGGGTCGCCGTCGGCGAAACCGACGGCGTCCTCTTGTATGGTTTCATGCGCGAGGTCGCCCGCCAGAGGATCGCCGTCGGCGAAAGCGATGCCGTCCTCCTGCATGGCTTAACCCTCAGCCTCCGGTTGTATAGGCGCCGCTTGTTTTCCCCAGGCCTGGGGGCGTCAGGATTGAACTCCGTGTCGAGGTCAGCTTGGCTACATGTTGCTACAAACCCTTCAAAAAGCCAAGAGGATAATCGCATGTAATTCCCCCGCGCTCGACCCCGCGATGACGCCGCCTAGCCTGAGCGTTGACGGCGTCGCAAAATATGCCGAGGTTAGCATCCGAGTTGGTCGATCCGATGGCACGGCGCGCTAAATTTGGCATCGAGACTTCGGCCGCGTCGCGCGTTGGCACCTCGCCGAACTGGACTCTCCACGTCTGGCGCAACGCTCGGACGACATCAATCTTTACGGCGGGAAATCCAAGCACATTGTCCCAGGTCTCTTCCGGTCGGCCCGCAGGCTGAGACTGAAGGGCCTGT